TTGCTTCAAGAATTGCTTTAGTGTAGAGCACTGTCCTATCTTATCCTGTACTCCTGGTAGTTTTAGTGTTTCTCTTGTGCAGTAAATAATTGTGATGAAGATCTTTTATCTGTTCATTTGTATCCCTAAATAAATTCATTACTATTAATAAATCTGATTTACCATCATTAAAGGCTGGGGGACAAAAGTGGTTCAGTCACACCTCTGTAATTCCTCTAAACTGAAAGTGTTGGCATGATCCAAGGCTGAGATTGGATCCAGCAGCCCCCAGCACCCCACAGGAAGTTGAGAGCTCAGGGGGGGCCACCCCCTTTGCCAGTGTCCCTGTTCCCAAAGAGCCCCATGGGACCGTCAGACCTTCCAGACCACCCCCTGTTTTCCACCCTTCTCCCTATTCTTTTCACTTTCCCATTGTCCCCTCAATCCTCAGTTTCCCCCCTGAACAGTTTTGGAGTCCCAACCCCCACTTTTTGCCCCCTCTCCTTTGGGTGGTGAAGGAGAAAATGAGGATGCACACACAGAGTTCCATTGCAGGACTTGTTTGCCAACACTTTTTGGTGTCCCCTTTTATTCCTCTTCTCTCTTGAGCAGCACCCGGTCTTTCTCTTTTAGTCCACCAGAATTCCCAGCATGGCCCCAAAGCAGTGCCCTTATCCCACACATTCCCCTCCCCTCATGTGCTAGCTGTGTTCAGCCACCAGAGAAAAACACAGGCTACCATGCAGAGCGTTCCAAGTGGTTTCCACTTTGGCAAACAGCACTCTCTGGATGGAAAACACCAGTCAAGGCCAAAACACTCCTTTTGGATCCTGATTAACTGAGTGCAGCTGCTGCTGCCTTAACTTGTTCCCACAAAAATTGTCAGGGTTCCTTTGGTTCCAGGAGGCCCTACATGTCACAATGGCTCCTTGATTCCATGAGCTTCCACAGTCTCCAAAGGTTCCTTTAGTTCCATGAGGCCCTGCAGTCCCAAAATGCCCTTTGGATTCTCAGAGATTTCCCATTGTCCCAGGGTCCCTTGTGCTTCAGAAGGAGCTGCAGTGGGACAGTGGCCCCTTGGTTCCGTGAGCTCTGCAGTGTTGCAGGAATCCTTGGGTTCCAGGAGAGCCTGCAGTTTCACAAGGACCACTTGAATCCAGGAGGTTCTGCAGGGTCACAATGGCCTCTGGATTCTGGGAGGTTCAGAAATATCTCAGGGCTCCCTTGGTTCCAGGAGGACACGCATGTCAGCAGGAACCCTTGGTTCCAGGAGATTTGACAGTGTCCCACAATTCCTTTGATTTCATGAGGCCCTGGATTGTCCCAGTGGACTCCTGATTCCATCAGCCCCCTCAATGTCACAATGGTCCCTTGGTTCCATGAGTTTCCGCAGTGTCCCAGGGTTCCTTCTGTTCCATGGGGACCTGCAGTGTCACAATGGGCCCTGAATTCCAGGAGTTTTCCCAGGGTTCCAGTGCTGCCTTGATTCCATGAGATTGCCCAGTGTCCCAGGGCTCCTTTGTCTCCAGAAGGCCCTGCAGTGTCCCAGTGGTCCTTGATTCCATGAGGTTCCACCATATCCTTGCTGGAACATGTGTGGTTGTAATGCTGCCCCACCTGCAGAGCTGCCTCGAGCTCTGGGATCTGGACAGGCTGGATCAATAAGGCCAAGTGTCAGGGCCTGTCCTTGGGTCCCAACAACCCCCTGGAACGCTCCAGGCTGGGGGCAGAGGGGCTGGAGAGCTGCTTAGCAGGAAGGGACTTGGGGGTGCTGCTTGACAGCACCTGGATATGAGGCAGAGTGTGCCCAAGGGGGCAAGAAGGCCAAGGGCATCCTGGCCTTTGTGGAAAAGAGTGTGGCCAGCAGGAGCAGAGAACTGATTGCCCCTCTGTGCTGGGCGCTGCTGAGGCCCCACCTCGAGTGCTGCGTCCAGTTCTGGCCCCTCAGTGCAAAAAGGCCCTTGAGGGGCTGGAGCTTGTCCAGAGAAGGGAACGGAGCTGGGGAAGGCTCTGGAAAACATGTCTGCTGAGGGATGGCTGAGGGAACTGGGCTTGTTGAGTCTGGAGAAGGGGAGGCTCAGGGGGGACCTCATTGCTCTCTACAATGACCTGAAAGGAGGTTTTAGTGGGGTGGGGGTTGGTCTCTTCTGCAAAGTCTTTAGTGACAGGAAGAGAGGGAATGGCCTTAAATTGCATCGGGCAAGGTTCATATTAGATATTCAAAAACCCTTTTTCCACTGAGGGAGTGTTCAGGCATTGGAAGAAGTAGCCCAGGGAGGTGGTGGAGTCTCTGGAAGTGTTCAGGTGGCATCTGGCTGTAGCACTTTGGGATGGGGTTTAGGGATGATTCTGGTGGTGCTGGGTTGACAGTTGGACTAGAAGATCTGGAAGGTCTCTTCCAACCTTGATGATTCTGTGATTCTCTGACCTGTCATCCCTGTTTGCAGGTTTGTGCTCTAACAAGACGCTGGGGATGTTTTCTCTGTTGGGTCCACAGAGATTATGTTGTGTGAGCTTTTTTCCTCTAAGATCAAAACAAGGAGTAATTAATGCTAAATCCAGCAGATGGCTTTCAAGTCATAACTTGGTCCAGTTTGTCCAACTGTGTACAAACAGGTGAGGAAAATCTGGAACTTCAGAAGTGTTAGTTTTTTACCTCATTAGCAGGATATCCAGGGGTGCACCAAGTGCCTTCCTGTGAGAAGCACAGGAGATGAGCAGACAGTGACAATATTCTTCTAATGTTAATCTCACTGGAGCACAGAGTGAGATCACATCTGAGTTATGTTTCTTAAATTGGCGATTGGGAATAAAGACAAAATCACATATTTGATGACACTTTAGTATTTTTTTCATGCTCTTAACAATAAGGTATTTTCCAGCCGGACTTTGAATAAGGTTCCATGGTATATTGCAAAATTCTATCTCAAGTTAACAGTCTACTTCTTCCCAAAGAAATTCTCAGCAGCTAACACCCTTTCATCATCTGGCTCTTTCCCTGATGGCTTGAGCTTGTTGCTCCTTTTGGTAAATACACATTTGACACAATGCACTGGGCAGCTTCTGCCAAGTGCCACTGAATCTTACTTCTTCACTTGCCTTGAGGTGGTTGTGCTTTAAGAATCTGGCTGTTCAGATGCCCTGAAATGTCTATAGTATTTCAATGGGAAGAAGCTCAAAGATGTACTGTTTGACACACGTGAAAAATTACCTGCCCAGAGAGCCACGGAAATGTAGGTGCTGCTCAGTAATGCCCCTTGACTGGGACAGGCACTGCTGATGATTTTTTTCCTCCCCTCTCTGATTCCATTCCCACTGTTTTGTACAGACTCCTTGGGGGAAGATTTTGCACTGTACAGTTTGATAAGTTAGTGCAGATGTGTGTTTGCAGGCATGTTCTTACTCTGTATTCCCGGATAAAATTCAGTAAACTGATACCTAGCTTGAGCTTTTCTTTCCCCCATAGTACTATTTTTATTTATTTCTACAGAACAGCTGGAGAAAATGAAGGTACACTTAGCCCCAGTTCACTTGCTGCTGTAATCTCTTCACCTTTTTTCTTTTCCCCTCCCCCAAACTGATGGGTAACTGTGAAACCCAAGGTCAGGAATGTGGTTGGAATTCCAGGCCCCAGTCTGGGGGAGGTGACTCTTTCAGTCCCCGGGGGAAGAAGCCACTGCTTTGTTTATCAACATGCAAAGGACAGCCCAGGATTTCTGGTTCTCCAAGCAGCAGCTGGCAGGGAAGAGAGCTGCTGGCTTGGATGGAAGATGGTTGAGAGAAAAGTAGTGATGGCTCACAGGGGGAGAGCAAAAACGTGTTATTTGGGGGTGTAAAGCGGGGGAGATGACAAACTAACAAGGGAGTGGAAGCCACATGAACAGGAAAAGGAGGGCTTAGAGGAGACAGATCAGGACAGGAGAGACCATCATGTTTCAGCCCTGAATATCAAATCTTAGGAGATCATGAACAAAAGTAGAAATAAAGTTCACCTGTCCTTTGGTGAGTTTCCAAATGGATCAGCTGTCATATTTTAAGGAGGGTGTATTCCAGGGAACTTAATACAGAAAAGTGACCATATCAAATGACACATGTATAGGGATTCATTATGGGTGATTTTTATATGAGAGAACACATACACATGCAAAGATTTGAAAGCATTTTGGAATAAAAAATATTGAAAAAGAGCCAAATCTATAAATAGACACTTGGAGAGATACTCAGCACAAACAATATATTTGCATTTTCGTATTTTGCTCATGTGCACATGTAAATCAGTTTGTAGGACCTGTATTTTGAGTTCATACAGTCATACAGATAACTATACATAAAGACATCGTATTGAAGTTCTGATTTGATCCCAAAATCTATGTTTATCAAATTGTTACTTAAAGAAGATGTTCTAATACAGTACCATGCGTTAGTACCTCTCATTTTAAAATTTGCAAAAAACAGATTTTTTTTCTGTCCCTGATGTTTCTACAGAGTACTTAAATTTTACTCTGCATCTCAGAGCTCTTTAATCCAGTGCTCACAAGCCAATCTACATCTTGATGACAGAGTTCCCATTTAACAATATAGACAGCATAATGCTACTGGTAATGAAGCTTTTATTACCTGCTTTTATACAGTAGTCTGAGCTGTAGTTTTGCTGTGATGGTTCCAATTCCTAAACTTAACTGTATTTATACCATGTTTGTAGGAAGCAGGCCCAGTCTTCACATAAGGTTAAATACATAACACTGGAATCTCTCTGCTGTTAACAGACACAAACATGTCAATTGAACCTGTATATTTTGGAATTTGGTTCTGTTGCTGTATTTACTTGGTAAAATGCTGTGGAACAGATTTGGAGAGGGCATTTGTGTTTCCATTTGTGAATGGTATTACTGCATTTTGATTAGTTTTGATCTAAAAGACTGCCATTTGCATCATGTTAGGGCTCCAGTCACAAAAGATTTTGTAAGGGTTGAGCTGCATTCTAAGAAATTATTGTCTTTCCAGTGTTGGTTGTTTTTTTCTGGCCAGAAAAAGCCTGCATCTGTTTTTGCTGGTAGGGGCAGAAACACTTTGAACCTGGAAAATTAAGTATGGTATCTTAGTTGTAATTTTAAGGAAAGGTAGTAGCTTTTGAGAGAAAAAATGCATTCCTAATTCATTACTGATTCTTTCAACATGGAGTTATGTGAGTGTGTTTCAGTACAAACAGTGTCTCTAAATTTGAGAATGGTCATTGTGTTGGAACAAGTTTAATCACGGACCTTTCATATGACAGAGAAGAACAACTCTGAGCTGGCTCTAAATGGGGCAGGCTGAGTTAGTCCACTCTAATCCCTGCACACTTACAGAGGAAATGGATCAGTTCTGGAGCTTTTATTTCTCTTTCTTATATCTAAATACACACATCTAAACATCCAGATGTTCACACGTGGTGTATACATAATATATATGTTATGATGCAGCTCTAATCTGTACAGGAACACACGTAGCTGTATTCGCTCCCAGTTTCACCCATGATGTTAAGGAATGGATTTGAGCGCTCGTTTTGTTAGGAATGTCTTTTTTTTTTAGCTAAGAAGAAAAGGAGGCTTTAAATTTTTAAATAGTTAATTATATCATTTTTATATTTTTATAGATCATATTACATATACATAATCAAATTCCAGCCCGCCCGCCCCCTCCCTTTTCCCCCCAAAAGCAACTCGCACGGCAATGAAAAGCTGAGTTACCCGAAGGCTTCGGCAGCTGCGCTTGGCGTTATTATTGTTTGTTTTCCCCCGGCTCCGAGCAGTTCCAAAGGTCAGGGAAGCGGCGGTCGGGACAGCGAGCCGAGCCGGAGGATGCAAATGTCCCGCCCTGCTGCATATTCATGAGCTCGGGGCGGGGCTTTGAGCTCTTGATCAGGGCCCGGGCGAGATTTTGGTCCCCGCCCGTGCCAAGTGCGCGGGGTCGGCCACGGGAACTTTGCTGTTCCCCGCGGGGCGCACGGAGGATATGTCGCCGGGCGCACATGGACTCGGGAGAACTTTGCCCGCCGGAGCCGCTCTCCCCGCACCGCGAGGAAGAGCAGGTACCGCTCCCCGCCCCCAGCCCAGCGCCGCATGCCGCCTGCCCCAAAACACGCCGGGTGCCTCAGACAGGAAATTCCTGGAGGGAAGAAACAATAAAATGTGGATCCGTTCCAAGTGCATATGAGCCTCACGCTGCCGAGCTCTCTAGAGGAGATCTGTGATCATGCCCGGCCAGTTTGTTCAGTTTTTATCTCTTTTACATCCACTGGCCTTGTATTAAATTGTCATTGTCCTAAAGCCCATGAGAGAGAAATGAATTGCATTTCTCGACGCGCACTGACAGTGAAATATTTCCCCTCTCTGTCTCCAGTCACACTTATATGTTCCCTTGTGCAGGGGTGACACCAACAGTGGCTGCAGCTTGACATTCCACTCATTCCCTGTTCTTTTCCATTTGTGTGTCGTCTTACAGGCTCGAGGTCGGCAGTCACACGTCCACAGTCAGATCTGTAGTAGCACGTCTGTGTGTGGGTTTGTTTTATATATTTGCATTTTCTGTGCAATCCTCTGTCTGTGCACAGCGAGTTTTGTGTTCCAGTATGTTTCTATCTGTGCCTGTGTGTGTGTTACAGGTATGGAGTGTATTCCTTGGGCAGTTTGGGCAGTGCACTCTATTGTTGTGTGTGTGCACACAGACACGTACACAGTGAGTATATATATGCAGAGCTGTATAACTTCCATCCAAGCAGTTGCTTGTCAAAATCCAGCTGCTTTTATGTGGGTTTATGTGTTGTTGTTTTTTTTTTTAATCCATGAGAAGAGAGCTGGCCAACAATGTAAAGTGTTTGCACCTGATTTTACACCAGATTCTCCCTGTAATCTAGCAGTTTTTGTGTTGTACTCACAGTTTTGCTTTTAAAAGATGCTGCATTTTTTTTTAAGATTTTCTCATTCTAAGTAAATGAAAATAATAATATTTATTCATATTCCTGTAAGTTTGGGCTGTCAAATGGAGAACTGTTTTTTCAGCTACATGTGTTCTTGGCTGTATTTACACCTAAAGAATATAATTATTTTAGGGAGGGACAACTCCTACATATGGTTGTTAATGTGCATCATGATGTCCTCCGGCTAAAATATAAAATACACATTCAATTTTAATGGTCCTTAGTCCTCTCCAAAAGTCCTATAGTTGTGGGGATTTTGGTTTTTTGATTTTGTTATGGTTTGTTTGTCAAGAAGTAAAAATCCTATGAAACATTAAAGAAAAATATGAAACTGAATTGTATCCTGCTATTATAGATAGTATTCCTTCATTATATTTGAAAGGACTTGGTATTGCCTTTTCAGTAGCACTTTGGAGTGTAACTTTTCTAGAATGGTAGATCACTGCCTTTTGACATGTGTGTCTTCTGAAACAATTTATGTATTTGCTGTGTTACAGGAGCTCTAAATCTCTGGGGTTTGTTTACATAACACTTGTAATATTTTTTCAACTATTTCTTATTTCCTTCAAACAAAGAGGGGCTTTTCTCTTTGCTATTACTTAATATAGCAAGTTTGCATTAAAGGGAATCTTGTCTAATTTCCAATTATTTTCCTGTTTGAAGTAGCGTAGCTTTTTAATCAGAGCATCGTTTCCCAATTCTTTTAAAATTGAAATAAAATTAATTTTTTTCACTTCAGCTTCCTCTCCTTGCTAGGAGAAACATCTATTAATATATCTAATGAAAATTAGAGCAATATAGGTACTTTCACACAGTGTAAGATAAGCATGTGCTGTTTTTCTGTACCGCTGAATGTCTGATTTTTACCGTGGGTCACCATTCTGAATTTGTATGAAATCTTGATGAAATTTGCGGATTTAGATCAAAATAATTTATGAGGCAAAACAAAACGAAAAATTCTTACTGTTTGTGACACTAACACAGACCCTTAAATCTGAAATTGGAGAAGGATGGCCATGTCCTGTGGTAAGTTAGTATATCAGGGTGTATGGAATAGAAGTTCCTTGTTCTCGGTCTAATCAAGCCATTTAGAGTGTCCTTGTACAGAATTGTGCACATTTATTTATATGATAACTTGCTGAAATATAATTAGCTACCCCTGTGCATGTGAGAATAGTCCAAATATATCCTTTTATCATACGCTGAAAATTATATTCCCTTTCCCTGAGTAAAACTCTTTGCAGCTTTGAGCTGCTGTCTTTATATGGGAGGGTGTAAGATTCTCTTTAAGAGTTTTGTTCTGAAACCAAACTTTAAGATAAAGTGATTTGAGGTTTTTGAGGTTATTACTCTGTAGCTTAGCGTGGATGTCTCTTCCTCCTCTGTGTCTTTTCATGTTGCTGTAAGTGGAAAAAAACCTGCACATCTCCTTTTCATCATTTGGATTGGAACTACATACCATAGGTAATGTGTTTGGGCAGCACTTACCTAGCCAAAGAAAACAAATCAATATTAGCCATGCTGAGGAGTGTCAGAAGTATCACAGATGTGTCCATTCAGCTTTGCTCCATCACACACTCTTTCCTTAAACAACTGGTCAAGCTGTCCCAAAATGTCGTGTTGGCTCCAGTGAGATTCTAATGGGTGTGATCAGAGATTGATGGCTTTGGCAAGTTAGAATGAGAAGATGATGTGGAGTTGCTGTCTCTTGTTTTGAATGTCCTCAGAAATAAAACCCTAGACAAACAAACAAAAAAGAAATAAAAATTAAAAAAGTAAAAATAATTTAAAAAGCCATTATTATTTTATAATTAAAAATAATTATAAGCCAGTTGTGTGTGTGTTCACTCCCCCCTCCAAGCCAGCTAGACATGAAACAGTTTAAAGTCCTGTAGATGTAGAGATGAAGAAGTCATATCTAAAGTGTACTGCGAGCTTGTTCCTAAGCATTTCCAACATTCCTTCCCATCAGGTGCCAGGACGGGTGGGCAGGAGGTGACTTGCTTTATTCAGACCATTCTTGTGCATGTTATTGCTGCTCTTTCACCCCTCTCCCCCTATTTCTGGGTTGGTTTCTAGAGCTGTTTTTGAAAGAAACACTTTTTTCAATCTCACATGTGAATATTTTTAAAGAAATACAAGACACAAAAATCTAGTAAAACCAATATTTAACAAAATGGTGAAATCACACTCCTTTATGTACTCTGAGCACTCTGCTACTGGCAGTTTGTGTAGTTCTCCATAGATTGGAAATGTAACAAAGGATCAAGCAATTTTCTGGGTATTCTTTGTTTACTTTTTGTGAGAAAAATCTCATTTATTGAATTTAGAAAGACGGCAAAAGTTTGCAGAACAAAAGGAATAAAACGAAAAGGAAAAATTACAACACGTGTTGGGTGTCCTAGGCACGCAGGATTCCCAGGAACACCCCCTTCAATTCAAAAGTCCCGCTTTTTAAACATTCTTAAGGTTCAACCCCGTTTACGTCATAGAAGAGGCGTTCCCCTCTTTCTGGTTGGCTGTGTC